CTCTTATCCACAATTATGTGTACCTAGTTCTGGTTGGCTGTTTGCTGGGGCAGAAGGCTAGCCCAAAATTCAAGATCCTCCTGACTCAGCTTCTGGATCACTAAAATTAAAAGGCATGTGTCACTGCATCTGGCATAATTAGGAAAGCATTTGATTTCTTTTGGTGTGATGTGGCATTTTGTATTCCTTTCCTTTCCTTAAGCTAGCCTGGAACTCACTATGTAGTCTAGACTGTTCTCAAACTCACAGCAATCCTTCTGCATCATCCCCAAATACTGTGATTAGAGACATAGGCCACCACATCCAACTTACTTTTTAAAATATTTACATTTATTTATTCTTTCTTTTTGTGGTAATGAAGATAGAACCCAGGGCCTTGCACATGTTAAATAAGTGTTCCATCAATGAGCTACGTCTCCAGCTTTTGTGAATTATTTTAAATGAATATATAATTTACATAACACAAGTCACCCTTTCAATGTGTCTAATTCAATGATTTTTATGTTACTTTTAAGAATGAACTTTTCTCTATTTCTAGAACATTTTCATTACTCCCAAAGCCTTTGACCTTTAACCAGTCACTTTACCATCATCTCCTTCCCCTAATCCTCAGCAACCAATAATTTAATTTTTGTTTGTATAGATGTGACATCTCTGACCATTTCATGTAAACAGCAGTGTCATGCAAAGTGTGTGTTTTTTAAATGTTGCTTAGAACATCAAAGAAGTAGGATTAATATGTACTAATGTAAAAGGGGCTACTGGAAGGTAGGTCCTGTGCTAAGCACTTTAGACACTTACATTTATTTAATCCTAATAATGTCACACCAGAAGGAAAAGGCCATTACTGTCATGGTATAATTGAAGAAACTAGCAGTATCATCTCCAGAAGGTTGCTAAACCCTTTGGAGCTACATGTTTCTCATGTAGGAAGTTGGTTATTGTCCACTACTTTTATTTCATTGTTTTAAATTAACATACATAGTAATGGGCTTCTTTTTTTTTTTTTTTTTGGTTTTTTTCGAGACAGGGTTTCTCTGTGTAAGCCGGTAAGCCAGGCTGTCCTGGAACTCACTCTGTAGACCAGGCTGGCCTCGAACTCAGAAATCCACCTGCCTCTGCCTCCCAAGTGCTGGGATTAAAGGTGTGTGCCACCACTGCCCAGCAAGTAATGGGCTTCATTATGATATTTTCATACATATATACTGTTGTACTTCACTCATGCTCACCATTCCCATTTTCCACTACTTATTCTCCCTTTTCCCTCCAAATTGATTTCTTATATTCATATATTCATATAATCACATCTGAGAAAAATGTTATATTTATCTTTTCCCCATCAACCTTCTCCTTTTCTTACCATATTACTACTCCCTTACCTCTTCTCAACAGTCGTCCTTTATCTTCATGTCATATAAATACACACATGAATACACTTGTAGACTTAGCATATGAGAGACAACACTTGGGTATTTGTCTTTCTGGGTGACATATTTTTGCTTAACATGATCATCTCTGGTTCTAACCATTTTCCAGGAGGGAATATAATTTTTCTTGTTCACAGATGAACGAAACTCCACTGTGAAGCTGGTAGGATGGTTCAGTACGTAGGGGCATTTGCCATCGATCCTGATAACCTGACTTTGATCCCTGGAACCTACATGGTGGAAGAAGACAATCAACTAAAGAAAATTTTCCTCTGACCTCCACATGTGCCCTGCAGTGTGGCATGGTGCCTACATATACATACAATAATAATATTAGTAATAATAGTAACAATAATAATTATATTTTAAATTGTTTCAAAACTCCATTGTGCACATGTACCACATTTTCATTAGCCACTTGTCAATTGATGGGAGTCTGGACTGATTCCATATCTTGGCTATTGGGAATAGTGACAAATATGGTCCACAGCTATCTTCATGGTCTGTTAACTTAAGGTCCTTTAGGTATATGCACAGGAGTGTAAGAGCTGAATCATATGGGAGTTCTATTTGCAGATTTTGAGGAACCTCATACTGATTTCCACAGTGGCTGCACCAGTAGTGAGTAAGCCACCCCACATACACACATCCTTGTCAGCACCATTCTAACCTCAAGCAATTTTAATTTGCATTTCTCTGAAGACCTAGGATGTTAAATATTTCCTCAAATATTTATTAGCCATTTATATTTTGTCCTTTGAGAGTTGTCTATTTACTGATTGGATGGTCCTGAGTGTGGTGAGATGGAATTGCAAAGCAGTTTGAATTGCAAGATCCCTATTTGTCCCTTATTTTTTTCAAGACTGAAACAGGCCACTATGTATGTCAAGGAGCAGAGCAGATCATGGTGGCAACCTTCCCAGGTTGGTACATGGGATATGCGTGTGATGTGCTAAGAGTCTGGCTCATGGAAGACCTTCTTGAAGTATAGCCATAGCCACTGTTAGGAGTCTTAGATAGACACACCCACACACACCCCACAGAGCAGCTGAGGTCCTTCTGTCTGGTGCTCAGAAGAACAACTTGCCACACTCAGGGAACCTTCAGATGACACAGCTGTCCTCAGAAGATGTCTCAGAAGCTGAAGAACAAACATTAAAGTTAACTTCCCTTTGTCTTTATAGAGCAACTTCGTAATCAGCCTTTCAACTTTTGAGATGGAAAATCTGTCTCTACTTCCTAGAGACTGGAAGGACTTTATACCTTATCCCCAGATGTGATTCTGGGACCTTTTGCATGCCTTCTACAGTTGCTCATTGTTGAGGACCAGGAACAAGAATAAAGGTACACTGGGGCAGAGCTCTCTGGACCTCACTACAGAAAACTTAGGTCCCTGCCTTCAAAACAAAGATACTGTTGGTTCAAACAAAACAAAACAAAAAGATGACAGAGTGGTGTTCTCATCTGGGTTGAAACCTGCTATTCCTTCTGATAATGTGACCACAGTCCCTTTAGTTGGAAGCGAGGATACCTAACCTGAACAGTTGTTGTGCTGATTTAAAACAAGATGCATGTTAGACATGGTGGCACATAAGTGTAATTCCAGGTCTCAGGAGGTAGAGGCAAGAGAAACAGAAATCTAAGCCAAAGGCTCAGGAATCAGAGGCAAGAAGATCAAAAGTTCAAGGACAGCTTTGAACACATAGCAAATTTGAGATTACCAAACTGGGCTACATGAGACCATGTCTTTAATTTTAAAAAAAAGAAAGAAAGCAAACAAGGAAGGAAGACATATGATATACAAGGCATACAGAAAACACCCAGGAAGTGGTAGCTGATCTAAGATGGGGCCACTCCTGGACCAAAGACATCTTTGTGATTGTTAGTTATTATATGGACTGATAAAACAGGTTTAGAGAACTCATTTTCAGGAATCCAAGGAAGGTTAGAAGTAGGGCAGTCTCCAGGTCTAAATGAATTATGCCTAGTGTTTTAAAATGGTTACTGTGGAGTCACAGAAGCCTGGGAACAAACCCTAGCTGCCAATTAAACACTGTATGACCTCACCTCTACCAGCTTCCCCAATCTCTCTAAACTCAAAGCAGGAAAACCTAAGGCCATTTATAGTCTAGTTTCAAATCCTCCATGCTCTAAGATGGAATTATCTACCATGCACAGGGCTTCATGTTCCAATTCAGCAAAGGAAAAAAAACCATCCATATTCATAGTCTCAGGCATCTCCCGCACTGTTTAGAACACAACCTTCAAGGATAAGGTAGGCTACTGGATACTTTTCTCTACAAAAGCCCATTAGACAATAATAATTTTATCCCTAAAGGAAGACTAAAAACATGAGCCACTCTCTATCCCTGTGACGGTTTGCTTTCTTCCCTCCATAGCGGTCTATGCCATAGATCTGATGTTTATGCTGGATTTCTTCCTCTACCAGATTGTCATCACAAAGATAAAAATCTTGGCTGTCTTCACTCTGCATAATCAGCTCCTAGAACCCAGAACCCAGACTGGCCATACCTCTGTAGCTCACTGGAATTTTCTATAGGTGAAATAAACCTTACTAAAAGTCAGTGCTAAGACCAAGTTTTGTTTGCCTAAACCTATGTTTCTCACTGGTTGGGTTTGCCTTCATTTTCAGAAAGCTCAAAGCATAATACTGCTTTGAATCAATTACAATTGCAGTGTTTTCTTGAAGCCATTTTCCCCTCCTCATGTGGAAATGGGACATTAAAAAAAAAAAAGAAAGAAGACTCTGCTGGCATATGCTTAAGATGCTATTCTCAATCACAGATTGTATTTATCGTAAGAAGACACTACTCAGACTTGAATGTGCCTGCAAATTCCTGGGGCATCTGATTATTACACTAAATAAAACACAGAATCTGACTCAGTAGGTCATGAGCTACTGCATTTCTACCATTAGACCCAAGGTGATGCCATGGCGGCCTGATCCACAAATTGAGTTGCACAGGGTTTAAGAAACTTGTTCCTTTGATTCAGCACAATTTCTGTGTCCACCTTCTCCACAAAATATGACCAGAGTCTCTAGAAGTGTTGGGACAGACAGCAGAAGCATGTAGGAAACTAAGACCTACAAGTTGCCCCCACCCTATTTTCACTTTGTCTCACTCCAAACCCTCTAAGATCCTAATGAAAGTGGCCAGAAAGTCTCCTGGGAAGCTCTCCAGATGCTTCTACTGCAGGTGGCCTCACAGTCAAGTTTCAAAATGACTGCTTTTTCCAAGGTTTTTCCCAAGGTACACTCCTAGGGACAGCTGTTGTCACCAATGCTTGGCTAGGATTAACATCCTAGTGTTTTAATACCAGCCCTAATAAGGTCCCATCCCTCAACTTCAATTCACAACGGGTTCAGTTCCAGAAGTCTCAGACCGTCACCCCTAGGCCTAGAGCTGCCAGGTCACCCGATGCTCCCCCCACCCCACCCGCCCGCCACCCCCACCTCAGGCCAGCCAGGCGGAGACAAGGCCGCTCATGCGCAGAGCGACCCCCAGGCCACAGGGCGGGGTCCCTGGGTGCCCCAGCCCGCACCCACCTTACCTCTCTGGACCAGTATGGCCAAGGAGAAAACGAGGCAAACGAGGAAAGCTGTGAGCCTGGCCACCATGGCTGGGAGCAGACGCAGGGGCCCGGAGGAGCACAGTTAGTGAAGGAGGGCCCGAGAGGGAGAGGGAGGAGCCAGGAAGGAGGAGCCTATCACAACCGCAGGACCCCGCCCAAAGCTGGCACCAGTCGCGCGGCCTGGGAGGGCGGTGACTAGGCGCGCCTAGATGCCTGCGCGGGCGGGGCGGGGCGGGGCGGGGGCGGGGGTGGAGTTTGGACGACCGACCGACTCTGCTGGGCCCACCGCAGGAGATGGAAAAACACTTCTGTCTCCCGGACTTAGCCGCAGTCTGGGGGCGGGACATGGGGAGAAGGGCGGGGCTCACAGACACCCATTGGGTCGCTTGATCTGGATTGGGTGTCATGCCTACTTGCTGCCCACAGACCCCTTCCCATCCCGCCATCGCTATGGGAATGTTGGAAGTGGCCTGTGAGCCTCTAGCCATGTGTCACCAGAAGCCAGCAGATTGGAAACAGCAGCTGAGAAGATGCTCAGAAATGGCCACCTGTGAGAACACTACACCCTGGCCCAGAGGTTGTGACCTTGAGCGGCACATCCCTCCTCTAGTTCAGTTCTCCCAGCTGCAAGGACCCCAGCACCTCAGCAGCGCTTGCTACTCCAGGCTGAAAGTTGCAACAAAATCCCTGTCCCAGACTAAAAAAACTGGTCTATTTGTGTAGCTGCTGGTAACCAGGTGGAAGCTGGCAATACCATAGCAGGGAGCAGGGAGGGTGGCCTCAGTCCAGAGTAAAAGCTCTGGGGAAAAGTTCTAGAGACTTGAGGTAGAGACAGGGTTAGTAATGAAAAAGTTAACTGCTCAATCCATTGTGACCAACAAAGCCACTGCAGTCTTTTCCCATGAATCTCTGCAAATGGTGCCCATCTCCCTGGTGGCGAGAATGCAGATATTCTCTGCTGCGACAACCAAAAGGTTACTGCAGCCTGGAAATGGAAGCTCCTAAGATAAGCCTGCTCTCAGGACAAAGAGCTCAGGGTGAGATGCTCAGGGTGGCAGCATGGAACCTGTCCTTGCCATCATACAGCATAAGCTGCCCTGGGGTTACCTCAAAGGATGGCTCCTACGCCTATGCCCAGGGCTCCTGGGCAGAAACAACACATATGCACAGGCAGGCACACACACACACACACACACACACACACACACCTCTGTGTATCTGTCTGTCTCTTTCTTCTCCCTCTGTTTACCCCTCTCCCTCCCCCTTTTTCTGTTTCTATTCTATCCACTGCACTAAATAAGAGGCTGGGAAACACAAACACACAAAGTGTTAGGCGTAGAACTTCCCATGGGCAAATCCTACCTGGAGCTGAAGAACAGAAATGGCCAATAGATCTTTATTTCTTATTATGGCCTTATGTATCCCCTCAATAATCAAGGAGAGGAAATGAGTGAGTGGGAGTACCTTGACTTTGAGGGAGTCACCAAGGGACCATGCAGTCAAAGGGGCCAAGAACAGAGGCTTTCAGAATCCCATGGAACAGACCTTGCTAAACAACAACAAAAGTTACTAGGGTGGTGGAAAGTGCTGGGGTAGAATGTAGTGAAGACTCTAAGAAACTGAGCTAACACAGTGGAGGTACTGCCAGACAATGAGGCAGGACCTAACTTCTATGCTTCTCTACAACACAAGATAAGCATAAAAGATAACCTGCCTATATACAGAACCAAGAACCAAGAGAAAAGAATGGTGTTATAATATGTCAAATGACACCAGATAAACAAAAACCTAGTTAATCAAAATGCCTGAATAAGACTATGAGATAGCACTCCCTTTGTAAGGTGATGTATCTGGGGCCTAGTGTGTCTCTCAGTCTCTTTTAAGTGGAGTTAATGTAAGTCTGGGAGGCATGGTTCATCTTTCAGTTGGAAAGAAGTGCTCGCCTAGAACTTGGTGAGCAACTCAGTCAGATAATTGTTGCCCTGCTGAATGTCAACTGAACATGGAACTGATTTACACACAGGAAATCCAACACAAGCCATAATTCTTGTCCCCTCCACTGTACACAATTTCCTTATTATCAATGCATCTGAATTCTGGGACCAATGGCTAGCCAAGCATCTTGTCAACACACTATACCCTTCTCCTGTACACCTAGCTCTTCTCTGAACTTCTCCTGCCCTGAATATTGCCACCAACTGGAAAAAGCATTTGGTTCTTCAAGCTCTCCTCCTAAAATGCAGAGCTTTTTCACAAGACAGAAAAGTGTGTCATGATCTTAGGAGTGCAGCAGTTGTCCAGAGTATGCTGAGAACACTGCCAATGACCCTCGGTGTCTTTCTGGGAGACAGTCTGGTGTTTAACCACTCCCAGGCTTTCTTCTCCAGTTGTTACACACCAGACCCAGGGTAAAGTATGACCAGTTAAGCCATGATCTCTTAGAAACCTTGGGTTTCAGCATCTTGCCAGGACCATGAAATTCTATTGCTACCCAAATGAACAGCTGCCAAATCTTCCTCACAAAATAATCTCCTCAATTCTATGTGCCAGCCACCTTTCCAAGGGGAATTCCTTCAGCCTTGGCCAAAGCAACCGAAGTAGGTGGCATCTACCAACCAAGAAGCTGATATTGCTGAAGATGCTCATCAAGAGAGCACCACTGTCCCTGTTGAAATGGCTCTTCCATGACAGTTGTAATGACTCATCTCTTCGATCCCAATCATCCAGAGGCTGAGGCAGGAGAATTGCCACAATATCAAAGCCAGTGAAGGTTACACAGGAAAACCCTGCATACTTGTCCTTCCCTGATGTTTCACCCCTGCTAGCAGTAACACTTAGGAACTGGCAGGAAGAAATAAAGACGAAGGCTTCCTAATCCAACTTGGGGCTACTCTTTATCCCCAGGAAACCAAAGGGACTCAAGCAATGCTCAAGGCATTAGCTGTTTCCCATGAGCTTCTGCTACATCCCTCAGCCTTGGGCCCTAACACCAGATCTTTACTGGGACACACACAAGTGCTGCAGGAAGAGGGAGCATTAGGAAAGGAAAGTCTCCTGTTCATCAACCTGACTCCCCACTGAGTCCCATCCTCCATGGCTGACCTCATACTCAAGATTCTGGCTAGATCTGTGCAGAGAAGCAAAAAGAAGCCCCAACCCCCAGAGTCCTGACCTTTATTCTGCAACCATGAACTTTGTTGCTGTACAAAAGTCCTTTATTTCATGGAACATAGCAGTGTTTTGTTTAAAGTGCTTGCTGCAGAAAATTAAAAATTCGCAAGCCTACTACTTCCCAAACTGAAAAAGAAAAAGAAAACAAAATCTAGCAGGCAAATCGACACATCTTTGAGCCTTTAGCCCACAAGGGCACAGATGTATGGAAACTGGCAGAGCATACCCCATAAGTGGACAGAAGCTCTGGAAAAGGAGTCCCCTTCTTTTTGACTTGCAAGTACATTATCCCCAAACTCCCCACAGCACTCTTTACTTCTGGTTTTGGGGATTTGTTCATACGGCAAGGTCACACAAAGCCATGAATGCCAAGTCAACAGCAAAGGTTTGGTCCTGAGAACAAAGCGAAAGCATTGAAGATTGTTAAGGAAACTGTAGCATGACAAGGCCTGTGGTTGATGGAAAAATGGCCAGCATAGTGTAAGAGGTAAGGCTAGGTCTTGATTCTAGAGGCCACATTAGAAGGTAGGAGGAGTTGTTTGGGCCTGGTTACAAGGCAGGAGAAATGAGGAAATTCAAGGACACAAAGAATTGAGCCAGGAAAGAGAGGCAGTTAGAGTCAAGGCCCTGTGTAGACGCTGGAGCAGCCCTGCCTACAGAGGATTGTCCTGTAGAATTGATGTAAAGGAAAAATAACAGTTCACCCAGCCAAGAAGAAAGGGGTTCCCAGAAAAAAAAAAAAGACTGAGGAGAATGCAGGAGGGATTAGAGATAAGAAGAGACACATGAAATAGGAGTTGCCAGAACTACCTCATGCAAGGTGTGGGGATCAGGTGAAGTTTACACTCTCCTAAGGTTTAAACCAGAGAGGTTTAAGCAGGAACAGGGTAACACTGCAAAGAGTACAAGATGAGATTATTGGGATTTTGCAGATCCATTTCTCCAAGGAACCTCAGAACCCTACTGTGTAAAAGTCACCATTTTCCTTAGAAAACCCTATTCTACTAATGTGGGGGAGATCCTGTGTTGTATTCCTAGCAAATGAAGAAGAGGGGAAGGGAGGGGAGGAGGAGAGAGATGGAAAGAAAAATGGAAAAGGAGGGGAGGAGGGCTGGAGAGATGGCTCAGTGGTTAAGAGCATTGACTGCTCTTCCAGAAGTCCTGAGTTCAATTCCCAGCAACCACATGGTGGCTCACAACCATCTGTAATGGGATCTGATGGCCTTTTCTGGGGTGTATCAAAATAGTGATCGTGTAATTACATAAAACAAATAAATCTTAAAAAAAAAGAAAAGGAGGGGAGGGGAGGAGGAAGAGGGAGGATGAGAGAAGAGATGAGGAGAGGGAGGAGGGAATAGGAGGTTAGGGGAAGGGAGGGAGAGAAAGGGAAAGAGAGGGAGAAGGGAGGGGACAGGAAGGATTGAGCCCAGAGCCTCACACATGCAAGGCATGTACTCAACCACAGAGCTGCATGGCCTTTCCTTAGGGTTTAAAGGGCGTTCTCAGCACCTCACCATGGTGAGGACAAGGGCAATACTAGTTGTGTAGCAATGGTCCAGAAGGAAAACAAGGAGCAAAAGGCTACTTGGTCCTTACTCCTTGTTGAGGCTCATTATGATGAGAAGAAGCCCTCCTCTCTGTCTATCCATATGCAGAGTACCCAGCAGCTTTGGGAATCCTGCGAGCTAAGTCAGGCAGGGCAAAACCTTCCACCTGCTTGTTTTCCTAATGTGAGAGGCCCTCTGCACTGTTCATTTCAGGGCCCAGTCGAGTTAATACGGAATTTGCATAAGCACCTGGCAAGAAATAACTAATATCTCCATAATATTTCTGAGGCAGCATTTTCTTTTTTTTTATTGGCTGTTTTATTTACATTTCATATGTTATCCCCTTACCCCAACCCCCACCCACCCAGGAACCCCCTA